ATGTATATATGTATATATGTATATATATATGAAAGTTAGCTCATACAATTAGAGTCCCTACTTAATTAATTTTAGTGATAGTGTTTACATATATTCATAATATTCTGAGGTCAGTTTTTTTGTTGTCAGTTAACAGTTTTTCATATATCCACTGATTTCATATATCCACAAACTTAATTATTCTTCATGGCTTAATTTTCTTAATCTTTCTTTACATAGTGGGTATACGTAGTATTTTTATTATTTCTCCAGTTTAATTCAATCTTTCATTTTAATTTAGGATAGAAGTGAAGGTTGCCAGGGGAAACCAAGTAATTTCTAAGTGTTTGATAAAATTACATATTTACAAGAGAAGGTATAAATCAAAAGCTATGTGGTATTCTTTTCATTAGGTCTAGAGATTTTTGCTATTGCTGTTTACCTTATTTTTATTTAGTTTTGAAACAGTCTTGCTATATTAGCCATATCAGCCTTAAATTCCTGACCATCTTGCCTCAGTCCTGCAAAGAGTCAAGATTATAGGTGTACAACACCATACGATGTAAATGCTGGCTATTATGATAAGTAGTGTTTCCTACAAATCACCGACCAGTTAAAGGGAGCAATACAGTTGAATATTCCTTATTAGATTTTGGAACTTGTTGGATTTTTTAAATAATTGCCTGGTCTTTAAAAGTTCAGCATCCCAAATCTGAAAAAAAATGAAACCTAAAATTCTTTAAACTTAGAAACCTTTGAGCACTTTCCCAACATTTCATGAGTTTCAGATTACAAAGCATTTTTAGTTTGAGAACTGAGGATTCTCAACAAATGCTACACCTAAAACGCCAAAAAAAAAAAAAACAGATTTACTTAGATATTTAAAGAAATGAAAAATACCTTCAGTATTGTATTTCATTCGCATATTGTTGAAATAGTCAAAAGCATTTTTTAAAGCCCATATCCTCACTATATTGTCTTGTCCAGCTGAGGCAAGTAATCGGCCACAGTGAGAAAATTTCATTGTCCAAACAGCTCCCTATGAAAACAGAAGGTTCAAAATGACTTTACAAGCTTAAGAGACGTTCCTTTAACCCAACCTTTAAAGTTCTACCGCATTATACATAGTAAGATAACACTAACTTTCCTAACATGTGTTACAGCCACTTGTGCAATAGTGCTACCAGAAAGGGAAGCTTTCAGAAGAAAGGTCTGTTAGGATCATTAACATTTCCTATATTTTAACCTAACAAATTTAAAACCCCAAACTATGTTCACATATTAATAAAAATGAGAGGTATTTTTGGTTGCATATAGGCATGTGTGTGTGGACTTAAGTGTAGAGGTCAGAGGGTAACCTCAGGTGCCATTTATGAGAGTCCCTATGTAGCTAGAAGAACAAACCACAGTTTGGAAACTCCAGTCCCTTAGCAGAACTGAAAAGAATAAGGCCTAGCCTACCTTAGCTGCCTATAGCATAGTGCCCATATCATGAGACACTTCAAAGGACCTAAACAGTTTGGTCTTATTCTGCTTTTCCCTCTACAGTACATGACTAGACTCTAGAAACTGAAATCATTGGATATGTATATGATCAGAAAAATGTTAAAGAATAGGAGTCTTTAGTAGGAAGGGCCAAATCCTATTCCAACAAATAAGGTTATAACACAGACTTAGGTATATTAAAAACATTAGCTGCCTATGGATTCTTTAAGTTAGAAGCAAGTTAATTAACTTAAATAGCGTTTATTTCTATAAAAGTCAAATACAGTAAAAAAAGCATTTGGATCCCAATATAATGGGCTTTTTACTTATTATTATTATTATTGTTTTTTTTTGAGACAGGGTTTCTCTATGTAGTCCTAGCTATCCTGGAACTAGCTCTGTAGACCAGGCTGGCCTTAAACTCACAGAGATCCACCTGCCTTTGCCTCCTGAGTGCTGGGATTAAAGGCGTGCGCCACCACCGCACGGTGAGGCTTTTTACTTAAGTAGGAAATAAAGGTGGACTCAACATAGTATAAAAAATTTTATCAAATAGATCTTTCACTTCCTTGGTCAGAGTTACCCCAAGATATTTTATGCTATTTGTGGCTATCGTGAAAGGTGATGCTTCTTTGATTTCCCTTTCTGTTTCCTTATCTTTAGTTTATAGGATGGCAACTGATTTTTTTGGAGTTGATCTTGTATCCTGCCACATTACTAAAGGTGTTTATCAGCTGTAGGAGTTCTTTGGTAGAGTTTTTGGGATCGCTTATGTATACTATCATATCATCTGCAAATAACGAAAGTTTAACTTCTTCCTTTCCAATTAGAATCCCCTTGATCCCCTTACTGCTATTGCTAGAACTTCAAGCACTATATTGAAGAGGTATGGAGAGAGTGGACAGCCTTGTCGTGTTCCTGATTTTAGTGGGATGGCTTTGAGTATCTTTCCATTTAATTTGATGATAGCTGTCAGCATGCTGTAAATAGCTTTTATTATATTTAGGTATGACCCTTGTATCCCTAATCTCTCCAAGACCTTTATGACTCTAGAGGGGTTCCCAGGGGTCCAGAGAGATGTCCCCAACTAGGTCCTTGGGCAGCTGAGGAGAGCCTGAAATGGCCTGATCCTATAGCCATACTAATGAATATCTTACATATCACCATAGAACCTTCATCTGGCGATGGATGGAGATAGAGACAGAGACCCACATTGGAGCACTGGACTGAGCTCCCAAGGTCCAAATGAGGAGCAGAAGGAGGGATAACATGAGCAAGGAAGTCAGGACCACAAGGAGGGAACCCATCCACTGAGATGGTGGGGCTCACCAAGGCCAGCTGGACTGGGACTGAAAAACCATGGGATAAAACTGGACTCTCTGAATATGGTAGACAATGAGGGCTGCTGAGAAGCCAAGGACAATGGCACTGGGTTTTGATCCTACTGCATGTACTGGCTTTGTGGGAGCCTAGCCTGTTTGGATGCTCACCTTCCTAGACCTGGATGTAAGGGGGAGGACCTTGGACTTCCCACAGGGCAGGGAACCCTGACTGCTCTTAAGACTTAGGAGAGGGAGGAGGGTGTGGGGAATGGGGGGAGGGGGAGGGAAAAGGGAGGCGGAGAAGAGGCGTAAATTTTTAATAAAAATAAATAAATAAATGTAAACTTCACAGATTAAAAAAAAATTTAGTAAGTTCCAAAATGAAACCACAGTAAAATTTAAAATATTGATGCATAATTTAATAGCACAAAAATTTAATTTCAATGTGGCCACTGCTTATAGTTGCTTTGTAGTTAGGGCAACACAGGCTTTATTTGATTCCTTAATCAAGGGCACAGCCTAGTTTACCTATGTTTGAGTTTAACTGCTATAGTCCTTACTTTCCTAGATTTGTAGACACTATCTGCAATCAAATCTGAGGATTTCCATCTACATTGTTAGGCTTGAATTTTTTCTTTGCAGTATTAGTGATCAGAGCAGAGCCTCATGTATATGAAGGAAACACTCTACCACAAAACCACATCCCCAGTATGGTACTTTTGAAATCTTAAAGAATGTAAACTTCTAACTATCTCTAGCGTGGCTGAATATTTTACTATGTTTACTGTGGAAAACATAGTAGGATTCTGCATACTTTTTACCAAAGTGCTAGGGATTGAAAGCAGGGCTTTATGTATGCTACTGAAAATCTCTAAGTATCCATACTTATTTAAATTGTGGTTGGAAATATTTAAAATATTTTTACAAGTGACAGACTATTTTCTAATTTAAGTGCTGCAAAGATTGGTCTCTCTGCATAGTTTTCTCAATAATACAGCCTAGAGATTATTTATTGCAAACCTTTTTTATTTTGAGATTGGGTTGCCCTATATAGCACAGGCTGGCCTTGATCTCATCTTCCTGCCTCAGCCTTCTGTATGCCATGATTATAGGTCCAAGAAACTACATTCAGCCTAAAACATTACTCCTTAAACAATTTTCAGAGACAAACACTGCATTATCTATTAATTTAAATAAATTAATATAAATTTAGTGCTCTTGAATTAGCAAAAGCATATACATTGGTAAAGATAAGTTAAATAGAAGCCTCAAAAAATACTCTAGCAGTCATGAAAAATGAAATAGTTGCTTACCATATGTTCACCACTAAGATCTTGCACCACTTTGATCTGATCAAAATCATAAGGTCCTTTGAAACCATGTGCTGCCTTGAATTTAACTGGCCTTGTATATGGCATTCCTTCATCATCACTTGATGAAGGGTCATCTTGATCAGTATGAAACACTGAAGAGAAAAGTAACAAAATTCAATGGTTAATATATATCTAGTTACAATTATATTTTCAAATACATTGATCATCAAGTATACTTTTAGTAAATACAGAAGCAAAATTTGTCTATTACTTGTAACATATTGGTTGAGAAAATGGAGACTGATGTTATATTGGTTGAATTTATATCCATCTGTAACTTATAATCTGCATAACCGTGGAGAAGTTACTCAACCTTTCTATACCTCTCAGTTTTCTCACCTATAAAATGAGGATAATGAGACTCCATTGAGTTATGAGATTAAATTAATTAAAATGTAGGTTAATTCTAAGAAGATTATCTGGTATTGTGTGACTATTAATAAGTGCACTTATTAATAAAAACAAATGAGTAGAATAATAAAGGCACAGTGGGCTACAGTCTCTGCAAATTAAGAAAATCTCTTTTTACCTTATTTATGGTGTGTACATGTGCATGCCATGAGGTGCATATGGAGTCAGTTCTGTCCTTCTACCAAACAGATTACAGGAATTGAAGTCTGGTTGTTGGACTTGGCAGCAAGCTCCTTTACCCATGCACATGCCACGGCACAAGAGTAGAGATCAGAGGACTTTTTTTTTTTTTTGAGAGTGGTTCTAGCCTTATGCCGTCTTTGAAGCAGGGTTTCTATTGTTTTCCTCTGCTGCTGTGCTACATGCTGCAGACTAGCTGGCCTGTCACCTTGAGGGCAATTCTCTCTCTATCTTCTATGTCATCATAAAATGTTGGCATGACAGATGCATACTATAGCATCTAGCTTCTAACTGAGTTCCAAAGAACTCCATTGGCCTTGCATGGCAAAATTGCTTTTATCCAATGAAATAATTACCTGTTCCCAAGTTTACCTCATTAAAAATAGCTTTAAAAGTCTATTTTTATGGGTATGAGTGTTTTGCCTCCACGAATGTCTATGTACTACGTGTGTGCCTGGTGCCCATGGAGGCCAGAAGTGGGTGTCAGATCCCCTGAAATGAGTTACAGACAGTTCTAGTTTGCCATGAGAGTACTGGGAAATTAAAGATGGATTCTCTGGTGCTCTTAACCACTAAGCCATTTCTCCAACCCTTTAAAAATATTTTTAAAAGGCAAAAAGTTTGACAAAACCAATTTACACTTAATCATTGTACCATAAATCTTCAAAGTTGTTATAATCACAAAATACTGTACCAATTCATACTTAAAAGTATACATTTATCTTTCTTTATATTTATAAAATTAAGGGAGATACTTGTGATTTATTGAAATACTAAGATATTGGCTATAAAAGTTTATTATGTTCATTGATATAGAGTGCCTTTTATAAACGTTGAGCTAAATTTAGAAAATACACATTAATGGAGTGTTGCAATATCCTCATGTTACTGACCTTCATCTCTTACACTTTTAACCTTATTTATAGCACGTTCACCATATTCCTCAGCAAGATGCTTTGCTCTCTTTACTGATTTTCCAAGGAATTTCTTTAGTTGAGTCCTGAAGAAAAATACACAAAAATGTAGTGACACAATTGTGCAAGGTGAATTATCCACAAACTTAAGATGTATCGTTTAAAACATTAAATGTAGGTATTCAAGTTCTTGGATTCCTTGTTTTTTTTTTTATTAATTTACTTAATTTGTGTACACTGGTGTTTTGCCTGCAGTTATGTCTATGAGTTATAGTCAGCTGTGAGCCACCATGAGGGTTCTAGGAATTGAACCTGAGTCCTCTGAAAGAGCAGCCAGTGCTCTTAACTACTGAGCCATCTCTCCAGCCCCATCAGATTCCTTGTTTTATGGAATGAACATATTCAAGTCAATAACCTTCAAAAATATATGAATAAAATTTCTCCCAATTAAGTTTCTTCTAGGGGGCTGGTGAGATGGCTCAGTGGTTAAGAGCACTGACTGTTCCTCCAGTGGACCCTGGTTCAATTCCCAGCACCCACATGGCAGCTTGCAGCTGTCTGTAGCTCCAGTTCAAGAGAATCTGACATCATTATACCAATGCGCATGAAATAAAGTTAAATAAAGTTTAAAAAAAATTAGTTTATTCTAAAGCTATACTGTTCAAGTGTGATTGACAATGGTGGGCTGGGGAATAGCATGTTTAAGCAGATCTATGGGTCCTATCCCCAGATAATCTGATTTGGAAAGTTCCTGGTGAAGCTATAAACATGCAGCTAAATAATTTTGAAAAAAACTACTTTAGAGACTTATCTCTAAGAACGCATTTTACCAACAAAAAGGAAGGATTAAAGAAAGTCATTGATCTACAAAATAGAATACCTGGGAAGCCTAAGAGTGTTTTCTCTTTAATCTGGGTATTCACAACAATAAAATTAGGCTGAGCTTTTCAATAGAACACAAAGTTACACAAGCATCAAAGCCTATATAAACATGATTCAAATTTTCTCTATTCAATTGAAAAGATATAAATGTCAGTCAACAGCCAAATGGATAAATAAGTGTTGGTATAAACTACAATAAAATAAACCCCTACTCTTTGAATTGCCAAGCTCTTATTCATAGTCTTTCCTCATGTTGTTACTTCTGATTTGAATACCCAATACTGATTACTAGTTTTTATTTACCCTTTAGGTCTCAGATCAAATAATCTTCTCTCAAAAAGACCTTCTTTGAGCCAAAACATGTTTTCTTATTGTAGACTTTCATAGCACCTTGCAGTTTTCTTTTACAGCAATCATTATAAATAAAGGTACACTTTTGTGCATGATTACATATTCAGTATCTGCCTCATTTACACAGAAGGTCCCTGAAGGTATGAGTGGAATTGTCTTAACTACTGTATCCACAGCAACTAATTCCTGTGTGGTTCATAGAAAGACTGCAATCAATGTATTTGTCTTTTGTGCTAACATGAAGAGATGACCATGACGTATTTGATTTACAATAAAAAAAAGCAAGCTAAGAATCTACAGACATAATATAACCCCTCTCTTATGAGAACCAAAAAAATTCTAGGGTATAGCTCATAGTCCTTGCTTAGCATGTGCTGGTCCCTAGCTTTGATTCGCCAGCATTGACAAAGAAATTAAAGAATCTTGATAATAATCTGTGAAATAATCATAAACTTTCATTTTCAATTTTATACATTTCTGTTGTTACTTTCAGTCATCAGAAAACAGAGATGACAAAACTAATTTTATAGTGCTGGGGACTGAGCCCAGGGCCTTGTATAAGCTACCTGAGCACTCTACCATTAAGCTACATCACATTCCTGCGAAACCAGTTTCTAAAGCCAAAATAAGGTGCCTACTCTAAAGTTATAGTTTATGGGTAACTATAGGTTCACTACAATGATGTTTAGTTTTAATTGCTAATTTGACACTCTCTAGAATCACCTGAGAAGGGAGGCTTAATAAGGAACTGTCTAGATTGGGCTGGCCTGTGAACGTGTCTATGAGGGGATTATCTTGATTAATGGGAAGATTGTGGGTGACACCATTCCCTGGGTAGGGGATCTAGATTGTTTAAGAGAGAAGAAAGTGAACTGAGCACTAAGTGCAGGTATTAATTCACTGCTCTCTGCTCTTCACTGTGGACGTCTTATGACTATCTACTTAAAGTTCCTACTACCTTAACATTCCTGCAATTATGGGCTGTGAGCCAAATACACCCTTTCTTTCTTAAGATGCTTTTATCAGGGTAGTTTATCAGACCAACAGGAAATGAAACTATGATGATTGCTATTTAAAAGCCAAGAAGACATTTAAATCACTTTAGATGTGACTTTCTAAATATAGACTTTTTATGTTTTGTTTTTGTTTTCAAGACAGGGTTTCTCTACGTAGTCTTTCTTGGCTGTCTGAAACTATCTCTGTAGATCAAGCTGGTCTTGAACTCAGAGATTCTGCCTGCCTCTTCCTTCAAGTGCTAGGATTAAAGGTGTATACACTAGGCTCAGCTATAGACTCTTATGACTTTAAAATGGTACTATTTAGTAGATTCCTTTTCACTGATGAATAGGGTCTGTTACCACTTGTACTATTCTCAGGACCTTTTGAACAGGATTCTCTTAAGCTCAATTACTAGTAGCTTCCTCAGTCTTCAAAACAACTTGTTATGATCCAGGAAAAGTCGGAACCAGGGGCCAATCTATTCTGGCTACTGGCTGCATTATTGGTTTATCTCATCATTCAGTATAAATATTTCTTTTTTTTTTTTTGATTTTTCGAGACAGGGTTTCTCCGTAGCTTTTTGGTTCCTGTCCTGGAACTAGCTCTTGTAGACCAGGCTGGCCTCGAACTCACAGAGATCCGCCTGTCTCTGCCTCCCAGTGCTGGGATTAAAGGCGTGCGCCACCACTGCCCGGCCCAGTGTAAATATTTCTATGTTCTATGTGTATGATTGTAAGAGAAAGGTCTGGAAAGAGTTACTATATACACAGACTATTGCGCTATGTATGGGTCTTTTATCATTTTCTGATTACAACCTTGCAATCAGAATATTACCAAACAGTCTCACATGCCAACTTTTTTTTTTTTTAAAGATTTACTTATTTATTATGTATTCAGTGTTCATGTATCCCTGCAGGCCAGAAGTGGGCACCAAATCTCACTACAGACGGTTGTGAGCACATGTGGTTGCTGGGAATTGAACTCAGGACCTCTAGAAGAGCAGGCAAAGCTCCTAACCACTGAGCAATCTCTCCAGCTCCCCACATGCCAACTTTTATGTCAAATTTTGCAGGTTCTCTGTTGCTTTAGAAGCTCGGGCACTAGATGACCAGATTTAAGAAATGATATATGAATAAAAAATGAGACATATAGACCCATTTTCTGAAGAAAAAATTTCTGAGTACAATTTTTTTCCTAGAAAATGAGCTTTAACAGGACATAGGATGTACACCTATAATCACAACACTCAGGATAAAGAAGCAGGGAAGTTGTGAGTTCACACCAGCCTGACCTGGTGTAGAAAGCCATATAGTGAGAACTTGTATAAGAAAACCAAAACAGAACATAAATGAGCTGTAGGGCATCAACTATATGACAGTTCACCTGGATGTTTATGTTTCCTGAACAATTCCTAACTCTTTGGATCCTGATAGTTGTCAGTGTTAGACAGCCAAGTTTCAAATACCTGGTGTTAACATATATCTGCATTTTGGTACATCTTTTCTAAATAGTCAGATTTAAGTGGATCATATATTTTGGACGTTATATGACAATATTGACAATTTAGTGACTCAGGCATAATCAGACATACTCTATATGAGCACCTATATACTATGTATTTGTGGGGTTAACAGAAGAATCATATGATCATAAACTTTTCATATCACATTGTCTAGCTATTTAAAATGTGTTTGCTTTAGGCTCACCCTCCTTGAGTTTCTATAGGAAGCTAATGGCTACTGAGAGAAAGAAACATTTCTTCACTGTAGTCACTGCTAAACTGTCCATGCTCCTGTAAGTAACCCTTATTAAACAAACTGGGTAACTTAAAACAAAACAAAACAACAAATAAACAAAATCAGCCAGGCAGTGGTGGTGCAAACCTTCAATCCCAGCACTTGGAAGTCAGAGACAGGCAGATCTCTGTGAGTGAGAGGTCAGCCTGGTCTACAGAGTTAGTTCCAGAACAGCCAAGGCTACACAGAGAAAACCTGTCATGAAAAATAAAAATATGAAAAAATTAAAAATATATGAAAGAAGAAGGGAAACTATTTAAAAAGAGAACAAAGATCAGCAGGAGTGAGGGGCAAGAAAAGGCAATAGGTGTGACTATGATAAAATCCATTATACACATGTAAGAAAATGTCATAAGGAACATGTAAAATATATGCTGATAAAATTATTTGCTTTTGAAATTAGAATATGGAATTAAGATAACATGCTAAAGAGGAAAAAATAAGTTATGTGGCTATAGATTTGCTATGAACTGGAATAGTTAGAAAGAAATATAAATAAGGTTTGGAAAGATGAAGAGAAGGGGGAAGATATCTAAGGACAATGATGTTCTTCTAGTCACAATTCTAGCATCTAGGATGGAAAACAATATAAGGATGATACAAAATATATTGGTCGTTTACTTTATGTCAGATGCTTTCAAGATGACCTAAACAAATGTAAGAAACTCATAGTTAGCCAATAGAGGGTAGGGATGGTGTGGGTAGACATTTAACATGATTTAAAATCTTCTGGAGGGAAACCACATATTCCATTCAAAGCAATTCTCTCAAGTTGAAAGAAATTACGAGAAAGAAGTTACTGAAATTAAGTGGCAGCAGATATATTCAAGCAATATGACAAGGATTGATTTTCTTAGGAATTTTCTGGGAGATTAATGTATGGTTATGGCAGTTAGTAGAAGCAAGAGAATAACACTGGGATGATGGTAATATAAGGTAATAGTGTCGGGTTAGAAGCCTTGGGAGAGTGTAACTCTGATTTTAGCAGACAAATCTTTTTAAAGGGTCTGTTTTACTGTAATGTAAAAAGTGGCTAAGAACAATCTGTTATTACAGTTTTATATTACATTTTTTTGATTAAAAAAGCATGGAATTTTTTTTTTTTACTTTTCTAGTAAATACTTAAAAAGAAGAAAAGGCGTGTAGAGTAGTAACTCACGTTTTCTGTTTTAACCGTCCACCGTCAGTATCTGTTTGTTGTGACTGCAACTTTTCTTCATCATCAGACTGTGTGGCATCATTGCTACAAGAAGGATGAGTCATTTTTAAAGAAGCCATTTCTCTTCTCATAAATATCTTTTTATGTTTACTATGCAGCAACTAATCAGAATAAGAAAAACTATCTTGAGCCGGGCGGTGGTGGCGCACGCCTTTAATCCCAGCACTCGGGAGGCAGAGGCAGGCGGATCTCTGTGAGTTCGATGCCAGCCTGGTCTACAAGAGCTAGTTCCAGGACAGGTTCCAAAGCTACAGAGAAACCCTGCCTCGAAAAACCAAAAAAAAAAAAAAAAAAAGAAAAGAAAAGAAAAACTATCTTGATATGCTTATATAACTTCAAATTAATGAATAACCTGAGAATTACTAAATAGTTTCCAAGAGTAAAGAATGGAATCTTAAAGCAAGATGCAATTTGCAAAATTTAAATGAATGCAATTTAATAGCTTATAAAAATCCTACTATATGAAGTCTGTGTATATCAACAATAAAATAACCTGTAGATAGCCTTTTCTTGGTCCACCAGGCACAACATATATTAAATTTAATAAAAGGTCTTTGCTCTTCTAGAACTTATTCCTTAGGCCCTCATTACATCTCATAATGAAAATCAATCATTTTGCTCTAAAGCAGTTTTCAAATACTTACAAAGCAAAATTTTTTAGAATACTAAATGATCCTCACACATATGGCTTTTTAGTCTTAATGTTTTGATTCTGTCTCCAGCATAAATCATTTTAAATGACAAGAAACTAAATAGTATGAGATTTAAGATTTAGAATAATTTCCACAAGTAACTACATGGTATGTCAATAATCAGAGGCAAAGATCAAAGGTAAATAATGCATACTCAAGCTAATTTTACTTTTAGATTAAAACAGAGGACTGAGTTTAACTAAAGAGGGACAGTTGTAGTTCAAAAATGTTAAATAACATTAAGTCATACCTTACATACTCCTTTGTCCTTCTCATGATGTGTAGAGTGAGAGGATTAATACCTGTTGGCAACTTCTCTTCAGCAAGACTTAGAGGTATTTCTTCTCCAGTATCCAGGTTCTTAATCATTACACTGGCTAAAATTTCCTTGAGGTAAAAAATAACACCCAGATGTCTTTCAACTTAATTATCTTTAAATTTTTATATTAGTTTTAATTATGTGCATATATGTATGTTGTGCACAGAGGGCAGAGGTGTTGGATCTCTTGGAGCTGGTGTTACAGGTAGTTGTGGATTGTGGTTCTGGGACTCAAACACAGGTCCCCTGGAAGAACAGTAGTACTCTTAACTGTTGAGCCATCTCTCCAGCCTTTAATTATCTTTTTTGAGTCTACAAAATTCTCAAAATGTTAAGGATTTTCTAGATAGTCACTACTGGGCACAATAAACTTAAATATTTACGCTGAGATATAATTCTCATACCATAAAATATTATCCCTTAAAACATGCAATTTAATGGTTAATAACATATCTATAGTTCTTAATTTATGATTAAATTATAATATTTGATTGCTCATAAAGGAAATCAGTTGTACATTAGCTGTCAATCCCATTTAATTATTTCTTAGTCTCTGGTAATTACTAATCTACTTTCTGTCTACTTTCTGTCTGTATTGATTTGTTTATTCAGGACATTTCATAAAGTCACTCAAAAAATATATGTATAATGCACGCACACACACACATACACATACACATACACACTAACATACAATGCATCTTGATTCTTTCATTTAGCATGCTATTTTTAAGGTTTATCCAAATACCAATATCGTTTTCCTTTTTAATTGCTGAAAAATATACTATTGAATGGGAATACTATGTTTTATTTAAGGATTCATCCATCACACATGTTTGTGCTGTTTCCATTTTTAGCAATTATAAATAATGCTGCTTTGAATATCTTATACATTTGTGTGTGAATATGTTTCCATTTTTCTTTAGTATAAAAAAAGAAATGGAACTGCTGGGTCATGGTAATATTAACATTTTAAGAAAAGGTAAACTGTTTTCCAAGGTATAATTTAGAAAAATGTATTATTTTAACACATTTGAGAAAGGGTCTAGTTATATTAGTCAGGATGACCTCAAACTAATGATCTGCTATCGTTGGCCTTCAAAGAATTGAAATTATTTTTATTTTCTGTGTATGGTGTTTTGCCGGCATGTATGTCTGTGCACCACATGTACATAATTCCGATGGAGGCCAGAAGAGGGCATTAGATCCCCTGGAACTGGAGTTACAGACAGCTGTAATCATGCATGTTCTAGAAATCAAACCTGGGTCCTTTAGAAGAACAACCATTGCTTTTAGCTGCAAGGCCATCTCGCTAGCTCCCCATTCTAAAGTTCAAAAATAAGAAACCATTATAGAGTTAGGGAAATGGCTCAGCAAATAAAAGGTCTTAAGGCCAACTCAGATGGCTTAAGTTCAATCCAAAGGACTTACACAGTAGAATGAGAGATCCAAGTCTTACAAATTATCCTTTGACTTTCATATTTGTACTGTGGCATGCATGTACCCATAAGTACACGCATGCATGCATGCACACAAATAAATGTTAAAAAAGCATCTGAAATACTAGGATTATTTTAAAGCTCATCTTTTATAAAATACAGATCGTGCTTTTGTGATGAATGTGCGTGCGCATGTGGTACTGGGAATGGAACCTATGTCTTTATGAATGCTAGCAAACACACAACTGAGTTACACAGACCCAGATGGCTTTGCCTTTTTCTTTTTGGTTTAATGTCTCAGACAGTTACCAGGCTGGCCTTGAACTTACTCTGTGGTCCAAGTAGATCCTGAACTTGTGACCCTCCTACCTCAGTGTCCTGAGTGCTTTGCCATCAGTCCTTCTTAGATTCTGCTTTGAATGTAAGTATTCCACTGCATATCTTTGTGAAATGGCAGGTTTCCATCAGAGAGTCAAACTTCAGTATATAAATAAAATCCCAAACCTAAAATACTCTTAATTTTAGTGATTTTGGCCTAAAAGTAACTCATTATACATGTCAAAATTACTAAACAAGTTCAGTGTTCCTGGTATTGAAATGATGTTCAAAAAGATGAAAATACTGATTTCCTGAATTTAGTCATTATATACTGTATCAATTTATCAAACCATCACATTACAACCCATAAATATGTACAAATGTGAAATTTCAATTTAAAAATGCAGTAAGTCATATGCAACATGAAACAAGAGTATGTTAACTATCTTTAGGTGCAGTATAAAGCCGCTATGTACTCTTACATTGCTATGCAGCCAGCACCACAACCCATCTCTAGAACGTTCTCATTTTCTCATTATGATTTTTACATTTTATGCTTTTAAGAACAAAAAAATTAAATTCTACCTCATCAGTAAGCTCTCTCCCAGAGTTGGATCTAGGTCTCTGAGGGCCCATCACTTCCCCTGCTACCGTCTGCAAATCAGGTGCTTTTCCATTTTCCTAAAATTATAATTGTACAAACAGACTAAATGAATTTCTATAAATTTTAATTATTCATTACCATGCACACTTCTACAAAATTCCACAAATCAGAAAATAGAGCCTACTGAAAATTTAAATTAATGATTCCATTTTAGTCCTTTATTATTCTCTACATGTTGAAAGATATTAGACACCAAAATTACTGTTGCCCATGAAATAGTGACTTAGTAGTATCACAGATATTTTATTTGAGCCCATTCAAAGCAACAGTTCTCTACTAAGATTGCAATTAATTCAAGCCATATGTGGATACTGCTAAAGATTTCTGTTTATATAAAGAGCTAGACAACTATGTTAAAAATTCACATATAGTTGTTGCTGCATATTCTTCTAGATTAAAAAAAAATCAATGCCTTAAAAAGACAAACACCACATTGATTTTACAAAAAGAGACCGCTTGTGACCTCTACTGTATTGTTATAACAAGATGGTAATGTCACATTTCCAGGTCTGCTGACCCTCCTCACCTCCGCTACTACACAAATTACCCCGAGTTCCAGAATTTAGCTGTGGTAAAATGCTATGCAGTTTTTTTGTATAGTCTAGTACATGAAGTGTTTTATATCTAGGAAAAGGAACTTATTAAAAATAGAAGCAGCTGGTTTTAAAAATACCTATAACATGCCACACACTTGGCATATATTAGCACATTTCATTTTCGCAGAAAACTTTCAAGGTGAATACTTTTCCCATGTTTTATCAATAGGGCATCTAAGAACCAGGTGCTAAATAGCTAGCTATCTCACTAAACTAGTTAGTAGCCAAGCCAGAAAGGGAAGTGAGGTGGTCAGGCATGGGAGACAAAGAAATATTTGGCCTAGAGAAGAAAGAGGGTTTCAGTAATTCAGTCAACTAGTTATATGAAGCTTGAATTAGCCTATACCCAATATAATAGTAATTCACCAACCTGGGCAGTAACTATTTTATCTCCACTTGTAGCACTTGCCAAATCAAGAGAAGGCTGAGAATCTCTAACTGTACTCTCTGAAGCCACATTTGCAGTAAGGAGAGAATCAGATGTAATGTTGTCTTTGGGTACTGCAATGATAATAAAAATAATAATAGTAATAATAATGATAATGAAGATATTAATAACAGAAGAATAATACCAACAATTTTATACACACACAAATAAAGAAGTATTTTTAACCTTTATTTAATTCTTATAACAAACCTATGAGAACAGTGGCTTTTATTATTCTTGTTTATTAAAAACAATGGCTCAAATGAATTATTTAACTTCTTCAAGACTGCACAGTTTATACATTCAAAGATTAGCATTTAAATTTCTGCTGTTTTAAGTCTTTCACTCCCTTTTTCTTCCTACCACTTCCATATCAATTCTTAGAGGGTTTAAAAAAATGTAAAAGTCTGGAGTCTGAAAATACTCAGTAATATTATTTTAACTTATGACCAGTATAATACCTTTCAGCTTTTGTCAACTTATTCAAGAAATAATTTATATATCCTAGTTATCATAGCAGTTATTCTTTAGCACAAATTGAAGCAAAAGCAGAAAAGTTAGCTGAGAATCATAACAAATGCCTATACTCAACAAGTAGAGGCAGAAGATCTCCACAAATTCAAGGACAGCCCAGTTACATGCTAGTCTGGATGATATAAAAGGACCCTATCTTACTTCTTCCCAACCCAAAGCAGAAAAGTTAGTTTCAACTCTCATATTTCCCAACCAAAATATTTCTCAGTTAATACTTGCCATCCAGATCAGGTGTTTTAAGAGCCTCAAGCTCCAATTCACTTTTCTTTTTTCTTGGTGGTGGTGCAGGTCGGGTTGGAGGTGGGGGTCTAGGAGGTGGGAAATTAGTTGGTGGTGGTGGGCGTGCAGGAACAGGCTTCTTTGTACTGGCTACTATATCAGGTTCTGGAGTAAGGTGCCTTGGGGGTTTGGCGGGAGCCACTTCTTCCGCAGCAGCAAAATCTTTAGCAGACAAAGAATCCGAGGATGCAGGATCTAGAATATCACTTTCTTTGACTTCCATTGCTTCCTTGCTCAGTATTTCGGTTTCCAGTTCAAAAACATCAAGCTGTTCAGCTGAACTTACTTCAGCTACATTAGCAGTTTCGTCTACAGTCTTCTCACAGGAGTCCTCAGAAGGAAAACATCTTTGTGCTTCTAATTCAGCTTCTTCAAATACATTTGGACTGTCTGCCTTTTCAGAGTCATGCTGTAGTTCACGCTCTATGGATAATAGTCCAGGTATGTCACTAAAGTCTGTCTCAGCCACAGAAGAACTGGCAGTAGCCTGATCAGAGAGTCCTCTCCCTTTGGAATCCAAAGAGTCATCTTCTGATTGTAGTGCTTTCTGACTTTCCTCAATAATACTTTCAATTATCTAATGAAAGGTTAAAATGCAGTTTTAAAAATAATGAAGTTATTTACAACAAAGTAATAGCTAATTCAATATATATGACAGGCAACATCTGTAACACTTTATTGATTTTAATCTTTACACAAATGTATAAAGATTTGCTCCTATTGTCATAATTTTACAAATGAAGGAACTAAAGCATACATGGACCAAGTGATCTGTCCAATGTTTTCGAGTTAGTCAGTGATAAAAATGGTATTATGTCCTGGAAGTTTGCTTCCAGAATCTATACACTTATACACTGTAATAGGGAATCTGTGTTATTATATCATGACAAAAGTTCAATGAACCCTGTAAAATGAAGCCATATATCTCCTCATGAAGACTTCAAATGTCAAGAGTTTATTTACATAGTTATGCCAAACTAGTTGCAAGACCCCCTGCTGTCTCTAGTTAACAAAATCACTGAAACAAAATCCACCTAGGATTAGAATTGAACTTGCTGCAGTCTGAATTCAAGACTACATCAGAAAAGTTGGCAGATGCAAGGTAATAAACACACTTGAATCAATTATAAGGCTTCATTCTTCAGACTCTGGGGCGGGGTGTCTATGAAGAGAGCTCCAACATCCAGCCCACACTGCTCTCACTCCTCCTATTTCTTACATCGAAGTGAAAAATATGCACAGGGGGTCTATGTCTTCAAGTACTATTTAGAAGAAAATATATCTTCTATACAGTCTTGGCATTACTAACACATTAAATTCCCTGATCCACTCATACCAAACCTGAATTCTGCTTTTTCAATTCCCCAGCTCCAGTAAGTTAACAGAATATGTTGCAGACCTGCCCTGATCAGCTTTGTTACAATTCCATACTAGTAAAACTGGCTGTTATTCCTGTTCAGTAAGATTTGCCCCTGATTTCCCAGTGTATTACAAGTAATAGTTTTTCACTGTCTTAAAAATTTTAGTACTAGAAATTTCCTCATTTTACCACATATAATATTAACCAAGGTTTACAACATTTATCACATTTGGCATTTAATCAGCATTAACGACTTTAGTGGTAACAGAAGTCAGATAACAATGTCTGTGAAAATGAGTAACAGAGGTCACTGCGGAAGAGGAAGTGGAAAGAGGGTAAGAGCCAGAGGCAGTAAATGACTACAAGGAAACTAACTGCAGCATACAGCAGAGCAAATGAAGTGTGAACTCACAGAGGCTGTGACACCATGTGTGTATAAGACCTGTGCAAGCTCACGTTAGACCAAATCCTAGCATGAAGAGAGGTTGTGGGCACAAAGCTCCACCCCTAGCCTAGAAGCTTCTGGCAATTGATAACTATGTGAAGAGAGAGAGTCAGTTTTCAAGAGTGTGACCCCTGGTAAGTTGACCATGCTCTAGTGGAAGACCATACGTCCAAGAATATATGGGCAAAACAAACAGGTTTTGATAGGTTTTGAAAAGGGCAAGGACACAATGTTTGAAGGGGAAGTAAAGGGGTGAATTTGGGAGGAACTGGGGAAAGGTGAATATTTCAAAGAACTAAAGAATCACTAAAACGTGAAGACATAGAGTCAGCTGGGTACAATATAATTCTTAAAAATTATATTGCCTGGTTGGTTGCCTAGCATTTACTAGGCCCTCGGTTTGATCTTTAGTACCAGGGGGTTGGGGAGGAGGGCTTGGATGTAAATAGAAAAAAAAAACTTCAAAAAAAAGTGATCCAGCATTTTTCTAAGCTGAAGGGAAGTTAGTCACAGGAGAGAAAGCTAACAGAATAAACTTCTCAAGTTCTAGAGACGAAAGGAAAGAAAGCTCTCTGTGTATCACATCCAGTATTCTTTACCCTGTCATGGTCTCATTAGATAGCTAGATTATCTTTTGTTTTTTTCGTTTTATTTTATTTTATTTTTTTTCAGAAGAAGGATCTGAGGGAAAACCATTAGGAAATTTCCCCAAATGCTACATAGTAAACAAAAATGTCCAAACATAAAACCCAGGTAATCTTCCACATAATACTTTGGGTAGGGAAAAAAGAATACTTAATTGTCAGCAATAGATGATAGAATATAGAAATAAAAGATGAAAACAAGTTTACAAATAAGGGGAAAATAATGGAAAAAGGGGCTTTCAGGGTTGTTAGCCTCCTATGTCTATGTGCAGAAGAAAACAAGGGATGGAAAAGAGCCACAGTAAGAGCAAGTTTATTACAAAGGTTTGACATGATCACTGTGTGTCACAGACAGGTTCATGCTATAAAAATAAGGCATCAAGATGAGGCTGAAAATTTTATCTTCCCTCGTCTGTTCTAGTCTCCCTCTTCTCTGACCTTACCATTCACTACAGCACAAACAACACAACACACAGACTACACAGGCTAGCTCGGCACATTCACTTTCCTCACAACAGACCATCAGTTCCTGGAGAACAAGCCACGCTCTTCAGTCTGCTGATGATACACACCTTTCATACCTATTTATGGTCCCTCACTGTCATTTTTAAATGGATTTTAAACAATGCAATGGGTAAAAAAAAAGAACTAAAAGCAACAAAGAGATGTTGCTGCTGCTACTCTTTATACATCAAAAGCTCACTGTTTTCTGAGTGATATAAAATGAAACCCAGATATTTCAGTATGACATTCTCATAACTTGAATTTATTAGCCTCATCCTCAAACATTCTGCACATTCCCCATCTCTAAGCTATTGGTGATGTCTTTCCTCTTTTATCTCTGCCTGCCAAAATTTTATACGTTCATCAAAAATCAGCTACTTTCCCCATAAAGTTATGTTTGTTCCTACTGTCCAATAGGAGATTGTTTCTCATTGGGTTTTTATAATATTTTGTAAATTTGGTACAACATTTATTAAATTTATTTTCATCCAATTTCCTGATTTTCTTTTTTACATATGGGTGTATACAGGCTGGCTTCAAACTCCTGATGTAGCCGGAGGGAGATCCTGATTCTGATTCTTTTCCTCTACAACCTTAAGTGCTGCGGTTAGAAATTTGTACCACCATGTTTACTCAAATTCCTCTTCTAAATGTAAGATACTCCTGAGCACGTAGTTGGTGTTATATTCCTATGGTCCTTTAACAATTAATGCTTAACTCATCTTTTTTTTTTCTTTTTTCCGAGACAGGGTTTCTCTGTGGTTTTGGAGCCTGACCTGGAACCAGCTCTTATAAACCAGGCTGGTCTCGAACTCACAGAGATCCTCCTGCCTCTGCCTCCCGAGTGCTGGGATTAAAGGCGTGCGCCACCACCGCCCGCTCTTAACTCAACTTAAAAGGCTAAAACTTTAAAAGATTCTTAAACCTCACTTTCTGTCCCACAGAATTTTCTCACTACTTCTTTGGTTTCTATTTAAATTCTCCTTCAAATCACTATAGACAGGATAAATTGGAAGTAGGTAACTTCCAATTTTGAAAGGGGTGAAATTAAAAACTATGGAGGTGATGAATGTCTATAACCCTAGCACTTGAGTGGCTGAAGAAGGAGGAAGACGAGAAAAAAATGGCAAAAAATCAACAAGTTTCAACAATAAAAATGACTAAATATAACTTAAAACGTTTGAGAGAAACATAGTAATGAAATATGAAGCACATATAAGCATGGTAAGAATAAAAGTTCTATTTACATTGTAACTGTGAAGAAAATAAATATATGCAAACAGTTGAGAACCATCAAGAAAAAAAAAAGAATCAAAGAAACTGCTCCACTGTAGAATTGTGGTTTCTGATTTTTAAAACCAGCTCTATTTTTATTCTATATCCTAATATACAAGAATACCTCTTCTCCCTAAAGGGATTTTTTTCCTCTTTTACAAAAAGGTATGATCAACATTAAAATCCATATTCTGCTATATTTATAAATTTTATAAGGGTAGAATAGTGTATATAGTTCCACTGACAGCAAATTTGTCACCAATCCATCCCAGCTGTGGAGACACTTTCAGTTGTCATGACGAAAGGATGGAGAGAATGCTACTGGTGTCCAGGCAGGTAGAAGAGTCCTGCACTGCACACAGTAGTGGCTGGTCCTCCACAACAAGGAGCGTGAAGAAAGCTACTAATGGAGAAGCTCTGCAGTGGAGAAGGAGCTGTTTTGCTGGGCTCTAGAAACTTACTGGCTACAACAGTGCTCACGGCCCACGAAATACACAAAAACACTCAAAAATAAATGAACACAAATCTTTCTCCTTGGAATTCATGCTGACACTACTAATGGCCCATTTTACAATGCTTATTGTTCTAATTGTGCCTAATGTGTGTATTACAGGCTGAGGTTAGATAAGGATAATTGTGTCTTTGTCCATATTCTCTACCTTATTCTCTTGAGACAGGATTTGCCATAGAACCTGCTTTGCCTCCTGGTTTGCAGGCCAGAAAACTCCTGTTGGGATCAACCTGTCTACATCCCTGAACCCCCAAATGCAAGCATATGTGGTCAGGAATAGCTTTTTTTAAAACATAGATTCTGGGGATTTGAACTCAGGTCTCCATGCTTAAACAGCAAATGTTCTTACCCACTGAGACATCTCCCCACTCCCAGCCCCCAAATATGTATCTTGCATTTAGTCTCTCTTCTTGCGAACTAACTTCTGGAGCGTCATAGCACTGATTATTTAAAAAGGCCTCAAGGATCCTAGCAGTGTAAGGACTTCCTGCTATCTCTGACTCCTAAAGATAACATAATTTGCTACTATGAGCCTTTCAGTATCTGTAAATTTTATTTGTCGTTGCTGTTGTTGATGATTTGATAGATTCTCAGTATATAGTCCTGGCTGTCCTGGAGCCCGCTAAGTAAACCAGGCTGGATTCAAACTCATAGAGTTCTACCTGCCTCTAACTCTTAAGTGCTGGGATTAGATGTGTGCAACACCATGCCTGGCTCAGGACCTGCAACTTTTAATAGTAATCTCAAGATTTGGAACTCAGAAACCAATAAATATTTTGCTGTTGGTTTAATTGTTTTTGACTGTTTGAGACAGAATCACCCTTTGTAGCCCTGGTTGACCTAGAACTCACTATATATATCTCAAAGATTCACCTTCTCCTGACTTCCAAGTGCTGAGACTAAAGGCCCGTGTCATAGTACTCAGAGGCCATATTAAACAAACAACTGTTTCAAGCATAAATCACCAAGTAGATGGTGACATGACTTCTAAAAAAGGCCAATGTGTCTTCTAACACAAAGCTGATCATGCAAACATATGCTAACACAATTAGAATGTACAGAATAGTATGCTGAAACAATACAGAAAATGTTCTAGCTTAAATGCATCGTATAAATTTGTTATCTTCTCTAAACTAAATTTGATATTATATCTTTCCAACCTTTTTAGATACATCTTGTCTCAGCTCTTGTACAGGGGACTCATTTCCAGCTTTCTGTGCTGTGTTCTCTGGTTCCTGTTTAAACAAGGAAAGAAACAGACCAAATGATGACTTTTATTTAAAAGTCTCCTCAAAAAGGATGCAAGGGGAGAAGTAAAGCATTCTTAAATCAAAGAAGACATGAGATTGTGTTTAAAACTAAAACACAAATACTAAACAAAGAAAAGAAACATAAAAAATACCAACAGATAGTATGCCATCTATGACACTAGAGTTACAAAAAAAAATAAATAAAAAGCAGTAAATATGTAATTTTTTAAATGAAAAATTGAGCCTAATTTTCAGAAAGATTTATTTCTATTTTATATGTATGGATATTCTGCCTGAGTGTGTGCATATACACAATATGGATGCCTGTAGAGGCCAGAAGCCACTGGGTCCCACGGAACTAGAGTTGCAGAGTTACAAGCTGCCACAGGGGTGCTGGGATCTAAATGTGGGTCTTCTGAAAGAGCAGCAAGTTACTCCAGACCCCTCAGTTTATCTTTTTAGCACTAAAATCTAATAGAGGGCTGGTGAGATGACTCAGAGGGCAAAAGAGCTAGTCACAAGCCTGACAACCTAAGTTCAATCCCTGGAACACCCAGCCTGGAAGGGGAGAACCAATTCCTGTAAGTTGCCCTCTGATCTCCAGAGTTGAGATTAACATGTATGTGCCCCCAGTAATAATAATAATAATTTTAAATTTAAAACATTTAATAGATAAGAAGTCCAGAATATCTTTGTGGCTAGAAAACATTAGGATCAGAAATATTTTCCGGGCTGGAGAGGTGGCTCAGAGGTTAAGAGCACTGACTGTTCTTCCAGAGGTCCTGAGTTCAATTCTCAGCAACCACATGGTGGCTCACAACCATCTGTAATGAGATCTGGTGCCCTCTACTGGCCTATAGGATATATGTAGGCAGAATACTCTATACATAGTAAATAAATCTTATTTTAGAAAAACTTTTTTCCTGGGGCTAAAGAGATGGCTCAGTGATTATGTACACTGAGCTGCTCTTCCAGAGGATACAGGTTCAATTCCTAGAAACCAAATGGTGACTCACAACACAAGAGTCTGTGACTTCGGTTACTCCAGGAAAATCTAATACCCTCTTCTGGCTACTTCTGACACTAGGCAAGCAAAGGGTACACAGCTATGCATGCAGGCAAAACACTTATACACACTAAATAAATAGCTGTTAAAAATACTTTCCAAAAGTATTACTATATAAATATATAAAATAAAAATCTTATGACAGAAAAGCATATTTTGAGAATATTTTTAAATTCTATATGCTTTAGCTAAAAAGAAGCAAGATTAAACCAGAAGTTAAATGAAGGTTTCCAAAACACTAAAAGATGAATAAAATTGCCGGGCGGTAGTGACGCACACCTTTAATCCCAGCACTCGGGAGGCAGAGACAGGCGCATCTCTGTGAGTTCCAGGCCAGCCTGGTCTACAAGACCTAGTTCCAGGACAGGCTCCAAAGCTACAGAGAAACCCTGTCTCGAAAAAGCAGGGGGAAAAGATAAATAAAATTAAACCCACCAAAAATACATATATATGTGTGTGTGTATGTATACATTTATATGCACATATATACAAACATGTGGGAAGTTAGAAAGGTAGACATAGACACTGTGTTGCTACTAGAGTAAAATAATCGTTTCATATATTTATAAATCTTGCTTTTTATATTTATAAAAGGATAGCAATTTAAATGCGACTTCTGATATCATGAAATATCAATTCATAATTTTTTGTCACAGAGCTTGTTAGAGGAAGGCAGCTATAACTTTCAAAGACAAGTGATATAAGGCATATAGGATATATATATATGTATTAAGATAGCACTTATAAAATTATCAGAAGATGAAGTTTTGCCAAAGATTACTACTGTTTAGTATAAATGAGTAAAATATTCTACTGAAATTTTTTATAGCCTTGAAACACTTTCAATCTCAAGTTTGTTTCTTTGGATTCCTCAATATTTGGGGGAATACTATTAATTTTATTATAGAATCTGATCAAGGATCATTCCCCTATGGAATCTTAGGTATCAGGTAACATCTAAACTCTCTCACAGCCCATGAGGGCTTAACATGATGTGGCCCTCTTCCTACACACTTGATAGCTCATGTACATCTCATTGCCACTCTCAATACCTAGGTTCAGTAAACCCTTGCTATTAGGGTTCAAGTGACATTTTTGTCATGGAAGGCTTGCCTGACCATCGTTTAAAAAATATTTATTTGGGGACTGGAGAGATGGCTCAGTGGTTAAGAGCATTGCCTGCTCTTCCAAAGGTCCTGAGTTCAATTCCCAGCAACCACATGGTGGCTCACAGCCATCTGTAATGAAGTCTGGTGCCCTCTTCCTGCAGGCATATATGCAGAGAGAATTGTATACATAATAAATAAATAAATATTAAAAAAAAACTATTTAAAAAATATTTATTTGGTTTTATGTGTATATGTGTGTCTATTAGTGGAGAGATATGGGAGCTTGGAGCAGGAGGATTAAACAAGGAAGAGGAGAGATGAGATCAGTAAGGAGAGAATGTGGGGAGGGACAACTAACACTAAAGGCCACATGAAAACAGTGCCCCAACTAGGTATCTTTCATCACCAAGTGAAAACAATGCCAGGAATGGGCTGTATCTAGTTGAATCATTGGCCAAAGTGTTTCCTAAACATTGGCTATTGCCAAGGCTATTGGTTGCTCTCCACAAACTGATGGCAAGGTCCTATTGCTGAAGACAATTCTTACACATCTTACTGAACACGGAGAATTTGAGCTGGTGCCTAATTAGAGTCTTTCCCTACTGACTAGTGTTTATGGTACTCTACACGCTACCAGGAAAAAGGTAACCATCTACAAACCCCACGATCTACAATGATGACCTGCTTGCAAGATATACTGGACAGTAGTGGTGCAAACATGGGAGAAACCAACAACTCTCTGATTGGATTTAAGACCTACTCCACAAAATGGAAATCATGCCTAACATTGCTCAGGTGGCTGTGAATGGGTCTAGAGGAAAACAAAATACTATTGGATTGCCAAAGGAACATAGCAATAAAATGACGCCTAATGCAATTTTGTTATACCCATAAATAGTGCTTCCCTCAGCCATCATCAGAGAAGCTTTCTCTTGCAGTAGATGGTAACTAACAGACAGACCAACAACTAGACAATGTGGAGAGCGTGAGAGATTTTGGAACACTCAGTCTTAAATGGGATGTCTTCATCAAGCCCTTCTCCTCAGGGCTCAGGAAAGCTATGCAGAAGAGGAGGCAGAAAGATTCTAAGAGCCAGAGGGGATGGAGGGAGGACACCAAGGAAATAGTGTCTTCAAGACACAACAGGACTGATGGAGGGAGGGGAGCAGAAAAAAATGTAGAGCTCAATAAATATCAATAAAAAATATATAAAAAAGATCCCATCCAAAGCCCAAGAAGCTATATTGCATTAACAACCACTCACACAAAAAATTAGTTTTCTACCAAATGGGAGTCTCAATGGGGATATTTAGTACACATAAAGGCAGATTCTATGCTCAGCAGTCAATGGCCAACAAAAACTGAACTCAGTGGTATTTTGTAGACTTTTTGACTCCTATTGCTTCGTTTGGACATTTTTGTTTTGCTTGTATAATAAATATGGTTTTCTAATTTTGTGCTTTTATGGATTTCGGTTGTATGTGTATATGTTTGTACTTTGTTTTTTATGGTTTGTTTTTTGTTTTCTAAAGAAAGAGAGAAAGAAAGTGCATAGAATTAGGGAGGTAGGGGAAGTGGGGAGGACCTGGGAGGATTCGGGGGAAGGGAAGCTGTGATCAGAATATACTGTATGAAAATTTTTTCAATAAAAATAAAATTAACTTAAAAATGAAAACAACATGTTTATTTATTTAATTTTATGTACGTGTGTGTGTGTGTATGTGTGTGTGTGTGTGAGTACATTTATGCACTGCATGACCACAGTGCCCCTCAAGAGCAGAAGGTTTTAGATCCTCTGGAATAGAAATTATAAATGGTTGCGAGCCACCATCTGGGTGCTGGGAACCACACCTGGGCTCTCTGTAAGAGCAGTAAGCACTCCTACCCACTAATCAATCTCTCTAGATCTTTTTACTGACCATCTTAAAGTAATTTTTCAGAATCTGAAGTGAACTTTGTTATTTGCTTAATTTTTTTCTTCCTGTCCCATTAGAATATAACAACTGTCTATAGTTAGGGTTTCTATTGCTGTGAAGAGACACTATTACCATGGCAACTCTTATAAAAGAAAGTGCTGTGGGACAATGGTCTGTACCTTGTCACTTATATTTTAAATAAATGCTGATTGGCCAGTAGCCAGGCAGGGAGTATAGGCAGGAGGACCAGGCAGAAAGTAGAGGCTGGGCAATGAGAATTCTAGGAAGAGGAAAGTTCTTTCTGCAGTTGTGACCCAGTCTCAGAGGAAGCAAGATGTGACCGCCTTGCTAAAAATGGTATGGAGCCACATGGCTAACACAGATAAGAATTATGGGCTAATATAAGGTATAAGAGTTAATAAGAAGCCTGAGCTAATGGGCCAATCAGTTTATAACTAATGTAGAGCGCTGTATGATTTCTTGGGACTAATCAGCTCTGGGACCTGGTGGGAGAGAAACCTCTGTCAACAGGAAGGCATTTAATTTTTGTGTCTTGCTTTCAGTTTCAGAGGTTCAATCCATTATCATCACGGCAGGAAGCATGACAGCACGCAGGCAGACATGGTGCTGGCTATATCTTGATCAGAAGGCAACAGGAAATCAATTGAGACACTGGGTGATATCTTGAGCGTAGGAAACCCCAAAGCCCACTCCCACAGTGACACACTTCCTCCAACAAGGCCATAACTACTCCAACAAAGCCACACCTTCTATTAGTGCCACTCCCTATGAGTTTATGGAAGCCAATTACATTCAAACTACCACAACGACCACAAGAACGAGGACATTGCTTCTTGAATCTACTATTATTTATCCAATATCTCAAATGGTGTCCAGCACTAAATAATCACTGCTAAATAGTGAAGGTCGAATAATGTATATTCTGGTTTTCCTTTGGTAAATATATAATAATATATACATCTTAACTTTATATATTCTTTAACTGATTTCTGGATTTAAATTTTATTTGTTGAAATAGCACCTCACTATATAGCCCTGGTTGGTCTGGGATTCACTGTGTAGAGCAAACTCAAACTGCACTCATAGGGATTCACCTGCCTCTGCCTCACAAGTGCTGAGATTAAAGGCGTGTGCCAACTATGCCCAGCCTGCTTTTTTTTTAATGAAGTGCTTTTTCCTTTTATCTTTGCAATTATAATAAAACATTTTCCCTTCCCCTATCTTCCTCTCAAACTCTGCCATATACTTGTCCTTACAAATTCATGGCATCTTTTTCATTAGTTGTTATTATATACATATGTGCACATGAATATGATTCCTAAATATAACCTGCTCAGTCTATATGATGTTACTTGTATGTAGTCTTTCAGGGCTGAACATTTAGTATTGGATAACCACTTGGTGTGTTTTTCCCTGGGGAAGACTATCCCACTCTCAGTATTTCCTAGTTTTCTGTAGTTCTTTGTGTAGGTCAGAGGCCTTGTACAAAAGGAACTACTTATTAAAAACATGTATTTATTTACATATTTTTAAGTGTATTGTTTTTCCTGCATGTATATATGTGCACTGTGTGCATGTCTGATCCTCTGCAACTGAAGGACTAATAGCTATAAATCAAATGTACAAGCTGGAAATCAAATTTGAGCTCTCTTTAAGAACAAGTGTTTTTTTTTTTTCAAAAAAAGATTTATTTATTATATATACAGCATTCTGCCTCTGTGTATGCCTGCATGCCAGAAGAGGGTACCAGAACTCATTATAGATGGCTGTGAGCCACTGTGTGGTTTCTGGGAATTGAACTCAAGGCCTCTGGAAGAGCAGCCAGTGCTCTTAACCACTGAGCAATCTTTCCAGCTCCAGCCTAGGTTTAAACTAAAGAAGATCTAATCAAAACTATTTAGTAAGATTACTTGGACAAGATAATGAATATCTGAAAGATCATCTTTAAGAATAGTTATCACATAGCATCATCAATCCTACCAATTTTAAGTATTTAATTTAATTATTCTCTAACTGTTTATTACCTGAAAAATCAAAAGCCTTTTACAACATAATTTAAAGGAAAATTTCTTCATTTAAGTTATTAAAAGCTACATGAAAATTTTCTAGGCCCCCAATTTGATTTGTTTTAATTAGAATTTACAAAGATCCTGGTTAGCACTCTTACACTGAAGAAAACTGCCAAGCAGTGATTAGATTTCTATTTTATATAGCTTACCAAAGCTCTTTTGGACTTTGCTAAGTCAGAATTTAAAAGGGGTCATATAGCACCAGCCAAAGGACCTGATCTCCAGGGAAATGAAGTCAATCAGAAAGTTTCTTAGTAAAATCTAAATATACATAAGTCAACTATAATTTCACTGAAAGAAAATCAAAGTAGTTGACTATATATAGCCCTAGATCCTTCTGATAACACCTCTGTCAGGCTGGGAAGATAAGGCAATAGAAATAAAGTATGTGACAAGACAGCATCATCAAGTTAATGATACTTGAGACACTCTTTAGTATCTTCTTATAGGGTGGAATGTTCTTTACTCAAACACAAAACTAAGTTCCTACTTTCCCAATATCATGTTGTTTCTCTAGTCTGTATCACAGTATCAGAAATACACTTTAGTAAAAGGTATAATTCATGATTTAGTTTTTAGTCATCCATGTAGAAGTTATGCTCTACTTGTGTTGACTAATATAGTTGCTTATACTTTCTCTATTATAGGACTTGAACATTTTTACTTTTAATACACATGTTCCCCACTCCCAGTTCACCCATAAAATCTATACTATTTTCCCCTCCCAGGAATATCCATGTCCCTCCCCCAGTCCCTTCCTCTATACCTAACCTCTCTGTGGCTACAGATTATAGCTTGGTTATCATTTATTTAATGGTTAGTATCCACATATAAGTGAATACATATCATATCTATCTTTCTGCATCTGGGTTACCTAACTTAGGATGACTGATCAGGAACAGGAGGAACAGGTTGGGAGGAAGAGAGAAGATGTGGTTAAGGGAAGGAACGCAGAGAGAGACAGAATTGTGGGGCATTTGGTGGTATTGAAACCTAGTGCAGTGGGAAAGTCCTAAAAATATACGAAGGTAATAATAATGAAGACTTTGAAATAATGAGGGAGACAGAGTCTCAACTAGCCATCTCTTGGGGTCCCATGAAAATCCCCAAGCAATAAAGGCTACTGCTAAGACAACAGGCTGCTCCTCTCAAACAGACAGCAAGGACTCTTTGTTGAAAACAACATCCATGCAACTCACTAAATATGATGGATTAGTCAATCTGGTGCCTACACAGAACTTTTACCCCTACGTTCTAATGTCTTTGGTATGGGAAGGTACTCTTCAGGCTACCAAAGGAGAAACATAAAATCCAACCCATGCACAAAACCTTTGATCTATAATGCTGTCCTGCCTACCAAATAAGCTAGGGCAATGGTGGCACAAAGCTTGTCGGAGTAGCCAAGCAATATCTGATTTGACTTAAGGCCCACTCTAGGAGATAGAAATCATACTTGACACTGCTTTGGGTGACCAAGAACCAGACATTAGATAGCCCAGAGACCTAGGGTAAAATCAAACACTAACTACTGGTTTAAAAAAGAAAAAGTAGTAATAAAATGACTCCTAATTATATACTGCCCACTCATAGATCAGTGCCTTATTCGCCCAACATCAGAGAATCTCCCTCTTGCAGCAGATGGGAATAAACACAGAGCCATACAATACCCTCAGCCAGACAATATGCAAAGAGCCAGGACTTAGAACACACAGCTCTGAATGGGATGTCTCAATCACACCCCTCTACTCAGGACTCAGAGAACCCTGAAGAAGAGGAAGCAGAAAGAGTGTAAGAGCCAGAGGGGGTTGGAAGACACCAGGAGAACAGGTCCTCTAAATCAACTGAGCAAAGCTCATATGAACTCAGAGACTGAAGCAGCAAGGACAGTGCCTATACCAGGTCCTTTGCACATATATTATAGCTTTCACTTTAGTATTTTTATGGGACCCTGAGTGTGTGAATGAGTGGGTTTCTGATTCTTGTGCCTTCTTTTGGGGTTCTTTTCCTTTCCTTGGTTTTGCTCTGTCAAAATGAAAAAATTATAGAGATGGCAAACAAATTTGGAGATGATGTGGGGCATTTGCAGCATGTTAACTATAAAGCGGTAGCACAAGAACTGTGTTGATGACAGTTCTGCATCTTGGTTGTGGTGGTTACACAGACACACAGAGAAAATACTGGCATTCACACTGAACCAATGGTTTTGATACTGCTCTATAATTAAGTTATAACCATCAGGGAAACTGGCTGAAGGATACGCAGAACATCTTCATACTGTATTTGTAGCTCCCTGGGACTCCATACTTACTTTGAAGTTAAGAAGGTAAAAAGGGAACACTATCCATTCTCATATTTATTTACTAAATACGTACATTTGCTATCTAATTTTAGTCAAGTAAGGACAGTCTTTAATTACTGGTGTAAAGTAGATTCTCTAAACCTATTTGTTATAACCTATAAATACCTTAGAGCCAAGTATAAAGCATAAAAAGTATTCGCTTCTAGAAATAAAGACTAGGAGGTAGGGGCTGAGGAATAGAAGGAAAGGCTCTTTTCATTATGTTTTCTTTTGCTCTATAGATATTTAACCCACTTCTATGTGTTACTTTTAAAACATGTTTTATGGAAATATTAAGTAGAAAGTTATAAAATACAAGGAAGAATTATGATAGAACCTGTCTTAAGCATCCAGTTAAAGAAAAAGGAGTTTTAAACTCTTATACATTATTCTCATTTTCCTTTATAATCTCTCCTCCTGAGAAATGATAGCCTAAATTTTGTTTATCATTACTCTGCTTTCTTCCCAGTTTAATGTTTACATCTCCTTTTTCCTTTTCTGTTTGTTTGTTTGATGGAGACAGGGTCTCATGTAGAACAAGATGACCTCAAATCCACTATGTAAACAAAAATGATTTTGAATTTTTTATCCTTCTGCCTCCATATCTCTAGTGCTTGGATTATAGGCATGAGCCATTGCCATAGAATAATCCTTTGTACACTGTGGCAATATATTGCTCTCATTGGTTTAATAAAGAGCTAACTGGCCAAGAACTAGTCAGGAAGAGGTCAGACAGGAGGGCCAGACTGAAAGAACACTGGGAAGGAGGGCGGGGTCACCAGCCAGCCACAGAGGAAGCATTACATACAAAATCATGTAATACACATATATCAATACTTATTATATATGATGTATTTAATGTAAAAAATTTTCACCATATTTTTGTATTTAAAATGGTTATCTCTTAGGGGCTAGGATATAGCTCAGTCACTGAGCCTTTACCTAGAATGTGCTAGGAATCATGTTTGAACTCCAGTATGACAAAAAAAATAACAATGCAAAAAAGGCTACCAATGACAAATTGTCACAACAGAAAGTCTCTTTCCTTGGAAATAAGACCAGTATTTTTTTTTTATTTATACACTATTAATACTGTCAAAATATGTGCCCATAGGAAGCATAGAAGTATTTTTGTTATTCTGTATTTTTTTTTCTTTTTTTAAAATACTAGAGTCTGAACCTAAGGTCTTGTATATACTAGGTAAGTACTTTATGCACTTAGATCTATATAGTGTTCTTTCATTTTTAAAATTGTAAATAATAAAAATAATGAATATTTAAAAAATTATATGTAACTGTGCTTATAGCACAATATTTACATAAGTTTTAATAGATTATATAAATAATTGGTAAATCAGAGTATAACAACAATGTTCTTGAACAAAAAATAACTTTAATAAAACAGTAGCAAGTAGGTGACAAATACCAAAATCTCTGAGAAAATACAACTAACCTTGACTGATGAAAGTCCAACTTTTTCTGGAGACCTGTTCAGAAACAAAAGATGGTGTTAGATTGAAAAAACAAAAAAGACTTCTACATATAAAAAAGACAAAGTTGCATTAAAAAATTAGGTATATATTTTGTTACTGGAAAATCTTGTTTTTGTATAACGAAATATGGAAAACAAAAGAGCAGGGAAGAAAGTTAAATCAGATATTAATAAGCTTACCACCATCTGTCTTCATAATACATATACTATAGGGAGTTTTGTACATAAGAAACTGTACAACTCCACAATAAAATTCCTCAAAATGATTTTTCTAGATGTGAAATTGTGGGTTGAAAGTATAAAAATTTAAAATTTTTAGGAAGCTTTCAGACTGCTATCCAGACACACCAATTTATGCTCTCACTACTTTAAGAATGCCAGTTTAATACCATCACTGAAAATGAGTGCCATTTACAGTACTTGCCAATTTGATGAACAAATGTACATATCTGTCTTTTGTTACACTTCTTTGTTTGCTAACATGGTTGAAAATTTTCATATGCATTATACATACTGATTTTGGAAAGAGAAATCATTTTCGTTTTTGACTTCAATTTTTCTACTGGAGCAAACCTCTACTCATACCTGGGGTAAAGTCAAATAATACAAGTCTAAAAAAATAAAAACATGTAGTGATAAAAAAACATGTAGAGATAAACTCCTAATGATATTCTGCCATTCTCATAGATCAGTGCCTTGTTCAGTTACCATCAGAGAAGCTTCTTCCTGCAACAGATGGGAACAAATACAGACACTCACAGTCAGACTTTACACAGAGAGAGACTTTGGAACACTCAGCCCTAAATGGGTTGTCTCCATCAAATCCCTCCACTCAGGGCTCAGGGAACCTGACGAAGGAGGAGGCAGAAAGATCAGAGAAGTAAAGCAGGCAGCCACTAGAGTTCTTACCTCTATAAAATCTTCAGACTAAAGGGGGGGTGAGCTCCTATCTCCTCCTGCCTTATATTCCTCTCTCCACCCAGCCATATCACTTCCTGTCTCCACCTGCCTAGTGCTGGGATTAAAAGGGTCAACCAAGTGCTGGGATCAAAGGTATGAGCTTGCCTCCCCCCCCCCCCAATCAAAGGTATGAGACAGGATTTCTCTGAGTAACAGCCCTGGCTGTCCTGGAACTTGCTGGCCTTGAACTCACAAAGATCCACCCCACTCTGCCTCCCTAGTACTAGGATTAAAGTCCTGCGCCACCACTGCTTTTAGACTGGTTAAATCTCCCATAACTCAAAGTGTCCTTGACCTCCTGATCTTCCTGCTTCTACTTCACGGGTGGGATTAAAGGCATTAGCCACCACTGCCTGGTCTCTATGATTAAGTAGTACCTAGCTCACCATCTGATCTTCAGGCAAGCTATATTTGCTAGAGTACAAACAAAATATCACCACAAAGAAAGGAGGCATAGAACTTGGAGGAATAGAGGGAAAACTATAATCAGGATATATTATGTAAGAAAAGAATCTATTTTCAATAAAAGAAAAAATAACAATAAATTAATAAAAATAGTCTACCCTTAAACATAGACTACTCTAGATAGAGTAATTTCAAAAGTAATTTCTTACCAATTATCTTTACTGATTCTTTCCTCACCTTTTCCCTTTTTTAAAGTAAGAACATTGGCTTCAAAGCATAATCAAGAGAACACATTTATGGCCAATTATTATACCTCAGGGCTACACAGCAACAGTAAACAGTTAATATGCCATTACTGAGGATTATGAAAAATAAAATGCAATTATCACAGATGATATAATTTTGGGCTGAATGGCAGCTTGAAACCAAAACCATTTAATCACAGTGTTTTTGCAGAGATAGAAAAACATTCTAAGAGACTGGGTGACTATTCCTCAAAAGTCATATTTATAATAAGAGCCAGACTACAATATTCTCTATATGCTATATTTAGTATGATGTTGTTATAAGAATCTTCAAGATCTACTTAAAATTTTGTGGGAAACAAAATTACTTTCAAAGAACACTCAATCCCTTCACTGAACAAACATTTCTGGAATACCACTATGTCCTAGGACTAGAGATTAGAAGATGAAATAGACAACTGTAGTTGGTTTTTCTAAGGTTACTAAAAAAAAAAAAACACACAAAATTAACTGTCATAAGCAGTGCCCATTTAACCATCAGTAGTTTTGGTCAATATAAATTTGGGTTAACAAAGGGCAATTTCCAGAAATAAAAACAGGTTTTGTTTTGTTAAGACAGAGACTTGATACACAGTCCAAACTCAAGATTTTCCTGCCTCAGTCTCCTGAGTACTGGGATTACTGGGATTATATGCTTGGCGTGTTGACATTTGGTTCTCTAGTCAAATCTACATTGCTGTGTAATAAAATCCTACATATGGAAAACTTGTTAGAACTCAGGTTATTCTAATTTCAAAGAAAGAAAGAAAGAAATATCAATTCTATAGAAATGGATGTTTAAAACAAACAAGTCAATCCAAACAAAAATAAAGACCTTAAAAAGCTCAAATTTCCATAAACCTCAAATTCTGAAGGGCAGTGAGGAGGTGCAGACTTGCAATAGAGGTCTAAAAGCAAGAGCTAAGTTCTCTAAAAACAAAACAAAACAGAAACAAATATACTAAAACCCATAGGAAGTAGAGAAAGGAGGAAATTTTGTTCATCTCAGGATCCTTACACCTGTATAAATTTGGCCAGGTTCACTGCCTTCATCCCCTAGAAAGGAAGATATTGTTAGCTCCTGTATGCAGTAGGTTTCTGGCTGTTGATTTGATGTCTAAGTTATTGGCCAGTTGTTGACATTAATGGAGATGTTCCAGATTATGCTGAGTAACTACTTCCTTTTGAAAGACAAGGGGCGGGCTGGAGAGATGGCTCAGTGGTTTAGAGCACTGCTCTTCCAGAGGTCCTGAATTCAATTCCCAGCAACCACATGGTGGCTTACAACCATCTGTAATGAGATCTGGCGCCCTCCTCTGGTGTGTGGGCATACATGGAGGCAGAATGTTGTATACATAATAAATAAATAAATCTTTAAAAAAAAAAGAAATACAAGGGGCATAGTATAACAGTCTTTTAAGCAGTCTAACGTTGTTTGAACACTGTTTAATGATATCCCATGTGTTGATCAAACCACTTAATGATTCAGTTTCTTAAAGGTACTGTTTGGTCCTCTGCAGAAGGGGGTAAAAATATCTCCCTTGGACTGATATGAGGATTCAGTCAGGGTGTATGAAGACATACACAGTGCATGATAGTTTCTTTAGCAACTTTGAATTGCTCCACATTTTTCCATGGTACTTTGGCAGCTCTCAGTAGTGAGGAGCCAAAAACTAATTTCTGGGCACAAAAACGGTACTCTACAGCCTCTAAAGCACCGGCTCATTTAAAAAGAGTAAAAAAGCCAGAGTATACTGAGCTGGGGATTCAAATGAAATCTTATCAATGGGTGATACTATTGGTATCACCTGGTAACCAAAACCACTCACATTTGAAGGATATTTAAGTATAAAGTCGTTAAGAGTTTGGTGTGTAGCAAAATATTTCAAACTACCATGGTTTCCTCTAATATTTTAAGCTTAAAACTGTTTTTTTTTAAATCAGGGTAGTATGTAAGGTTAGAATTCTTTTGTTATGCATTTCTGATCTATTTATAAAACTTCAGTGCCTAGTAAAAAGTAAAAAAAAAAATACGTTTAACTTGTAAATGACCTTTGTCATGTGCCAGGATGAGGAAAAAACAATTTATTCCAACATAAAAAGCAGCAAACAGGACTGCAGAGATTGCTAAATGGTTAAGAGTGACTGCTGCTCTTGTAGAAGACTGTTTAGGTCTCAGCACCCAGGGGCCACAGCTACCTGTAACTCAAGCTCCATGGAACCCAATACACTTTCCTGGCTGCTGTCACTCACACACATATGACATATACTGACACAAACATAAATAATAAACAAAAACAAACAAATAAATAAATAATAGTAATCATTATGGTGTATATACACTCCAAGTTTTTCTTTTTCTAATAGGGGCTATATAAATAATAAAACAATGGCCATAATTTATCACATATTTGCCAAAACAATACTAACATATTTGAACTTTTTGAGTCCTCAAAATTCTCCTACTAATTATATTATTTTCATAGAACAAAAGTCTAACTTGGATCAGACTCAATCATTTAAATTCTATCTTTAAAATGCAGGGGCTGGAATGTGACCTTAGGCAGCTTGATTCAAGGCTTTAAACCACTTTGCAATATTGCCTCCTTTCTGGGCAAGGTCTTAAAACACTGCAAAAGTTGAAGATTCAAAGGTTTCATTTCTCTGGAGATTTTACATATGAATCTTTATTTCATTCCCAGGTTGTGGCATGTCAATTACACATTCATTGTAGCTATTAAGGGCCAGCCAGAATTCAAAGCCTTAAACAAGTTTAGTCCAACTCATGAAGCAGCATTAATTGCCTTCACTTTGCTGCTCATGCATAGACCAGTTACTGTTGTTTCCCAACCATTGTCTTTCAATGGTTTTTGAACATAAAATCTCAAAAGTACCTTGTATATAAATACATGAGCAAGCCTTGCAATTTCAGTATCTGTCACTTAGAAATAACTCTTTAGATAAAAGATGTGTAATTCCTGTAGGGCCCTGGTCTGCCCTAGTTCCTGGGGTGCATTTGTGGGGACAGTTTATGGTCAGCTGACTAAGCATCCTGTTTGTTTCTGTGCTCTCCCTGCCCTTCCTGGTGATTAGCTGCAGGGCATTGTCTCCATTGTTAATATGGTAATTTCCCATCTGCCTGGGCAGAGATCCTTGTGCAGCAGTTAGGTAGATAAGGACTCCCCCAAATCTGAATAAACTAGCTGGTCTCCTTTCGAATGACCCTGGTCTCTGTGTGTGTTCTTTCAATCTTCAGGCCCTTGCTCGACTCGTGCGGAACAGTGGCTCGTGAACTGTACCGAAGGTGTAACACAAAATCGGATGTTACGAATTCTCCCTTAATTAG